ATCATGTCTTATGTCCATAAACGAGCGCTTCATTTGACGACCATCGCTCATTCAATGTGTGCAAATAAACTGAGAATAACATTTACCTGCACGTAAGTTGCCAGCGAGAAAAACACTGACATGCATAAATTACAAACTCTCCAGATGATCTGAGAGAACGAGACACTCATCCTGTTCTTCTTTTGGACTCTTGTGCATTTATTCTAATAAGTGTATCAACATTTCTCTGAAACGAAACACACTGGACTTTATAACTGTACGGTTTTCCGGATATGACGCCCGCGGGATAAAGCTAGGCATTGTGGGAAATGAAGTCCACGACACTATGATTCATTCAGTCATTTGGACTAAAAACGCAAACGACTATTAAGCAAAAATGAATGAATGAATGTTTAAAATGAATTAATTCCTTCATAAATACACTTGATTGAAACCACTAATAAAAGATGATTATCATACTGAGTACAAATTGTTAGCATCATCATCATTATTCATGTTATCATAATTGATTCAGAGAGAACTACACAGTACACACACTTCTGCAATGTTTTGTAAACATTTGCAATGTTCCATTGTTTACTCTGTACTGTTTTAATTTCACGATTCTATTCTATTCTATTCTATTACATTTACATTTAGTCATTTAGCAGATGCTTTTATCCAAAGCGACTTACAAATGAGGACAATAAAAGCAGTCAAAACTAACAAAAGAGCAACAATATATAAGTGCAAATGACAAGTTTCAGTTAGCCTAACACAGTACACGTAGCAAGGTATATACAGTGGGTACGGAAAGTATTCAGACCCCCTTAAATTTTTCACTCTTTGTTATATTGCAGCCATTTGCTAAAATCATTTAAGTTCATTTTTTTCCCTCATTAATGTACACACAGCACCCCATATTGACAGAAAAACACAGAATTGTTGACATTTTTGCAGATTTATTAAAAAAGAAAAACTGAAATATCACATGGTCCTAAGTATTCAGACCCTTTGCTCAGTATTTAGTAGAAGCACCCTTTTGAACTAATACAGCCATGAGTCTTTTTGGGAAAGAGGCAACAAGTTTTTCACACCTGGATTTAGGGATCCTCTGCCATTCCTCCTTGCAGATCCTCCCCAGTTCTGTCAGGTTGGATGGTAAACGTTGGTGGACAGCCATTTTTAGGTCTCTCCAGAGATGCTCAATTGGGTTTAAGTCAGGGCTCTGGCTGGGCCATTCAAGAACAGTCACAGAGTTGTTGTGAAGCCACTCCTTCATTATTTTAGCTGTGTGCTTAGGGTCATTGTCTTGTTGGAAGGTAAACCTTCAGCCCAGTCTGAGGTCCTGAGCACTCTGGAGAAAGTTTTCGTCCAGGATAACCCTGTACTTGGCCGCATTCATCTTTCCCTCAATTGCAACCAGTCGTCCTGTCCCTGCAGCTGAAAAACACCCCCACAGCATGATGCTGCCACCACCATGCTTCACTGTTGGGACTGTATTGGACAGGTGATGAGCAGTACCTGGTTTTCTCCACACATACCGCTTAGAATTAAGGCCAAAAAGTTATATCTTGGTCTCATCAGACCAGAGAATCTTATTCAGGTGTTTTTTAGCAAACTCCATGCAGGCTTTCATGTGTCTTGCACTGAGGAGAGGCTTCCGTCGGGCCACTCTGCCATAAAGCCCCAACTGGTGGAGGGCTGCAGTGATGGTTGACTTTCTACAACTTTCTCCCATCTCCCAACTGCATCTCTGGAGCTCAGCCACAGTGATCTTTGGGTTCTTCTTTACCTCTCTCACCAAGGCTCTTCGCCCCCGATAGCTCAGTTTGGCCGGACGGCCAGCTCTAAGAAGGGTTCTGGTTGTCCCAAACGTCTTCCATTTAAGGAATGGAGGCCACTGTGCTCTTGGGAACCTTAAGTGCAGCAGAAATTTTTTTGTAACCTTGGCCAGATCTGTGCCTTGCCACAATTCTGTCTCTGAGCTCTTCAGGCAGTTCCTTTGACCTCATAATTCTCATTTGCTCTGACATGCACTGTGAGCTGTAAGGTCTTATATAGACAGGTGTGTGGCTTTCCAAATCAAGTCCAATCAGTATAATCAAACAAAGCTGGACTCAAATGAAGGTGTAGAACCATCTCAAGGATGAGCAGAAGAAATGGACAGCACCTGAGTTAAATATACGAGTGTCACAGCAAAGGGTCTGAATAATTAGGACCATGTGATATTTCAGTTTTTCTTTAATAAATCTGCAAAAATGTCAACAATTCTGTGTTTTTCTGTCAATATGGGGTGCTGTGTGTACATTAATGAGGAAAAAAATGAACTTAAATGATTTTAGCAAATGGCTACAATATAACAAAGAGTGAAAAATTTAAGGGGGTCTGAATACTTTCCGTACCCACTGTACACACACACTATATATATATTTAAAAAAAACTTTATGTATGATTTATAAGCTGTTTTATAAGCCAAAAATAATAATAATAATGTCCTTTGGTCCCCATAATGTAGGGAATACAAACACACAATACATGATACCTGGACAATTGGACAACAGACCAAAAAAAAAGTATCACATTTTAACTACAAAATAAACAATTTTATTTTTTTATGAGGGAATGAAAAAAAATCATGGGACCCATCATAATCATTTATTTCTGATTCATAATTTTAACAAAGCCTGGAATTCATATTCAAGAATGAATAATGAAATAGCTGTGTGAGGGGGAGGTCCATGCATCATATTGATGCATGGACTTACATCATTGTCTGGCAGGTATTCTTGATTTTGTAATTTATTGAACTGAGATAATCAGTATCTAAATATACAAACTGTTAGTGTGCTGAGACGTGAGTGTGATGTTATATTTAGTGCAGTAATAGTGGGAAGAATAGTTCCTACATACTGTAGGAGGAGAGAGCTCTCAGTTACATGTTGTGATTATATCTTTAGATGTCAATTAATAAGTGAGACACCTACCTGACAGTTTTAACAGTTAGGCGAGTACTGAGATTAAATAGCACATGTAAACTTAGATTAAGTACAGGTGAGCTGTGGCACTCGAGGTGTAATTGACAGCAATACAATGGTGAAAAACATCAAGATTGTTCATACATACACCTTGAAACGGCAGATAAATCAACTTTGAGCAGTATAATTTTTACATTTATTTGAAAGGAGCCATGACAATAGACAATGGGATGTTTGATGATTTACAAAGTGTCACCTACCAAATGGAGTCACAAAAAGTATCTTCAAAACAAGAAAAACAAACAAACAAAAAAAAAAGCAAAAAATTTTTAATTTTCACTCTAGAGTCTTTCTGAGCTCTTCAGGCAGTTCCTTTGACCTTATGATTCTCATTTGCTCTGACATGCACTGTGTGCTGTAAGGTCTTATATAGACAGGTGTGTGGCTTTCCTAATCAAGTCCAATCAGTATAATCAAACACAGCTGGACTCAAATGAAGGTGTAGAACCATCTCAAGGATGATCAGAAGAAATGGACAGCCCCTGAGTTAAATATATGAGTGTCACAGCAAAGGGTCTGAATACTTAGGACCATGTGATATTTCAGTTTTTCTTTTTTAATAAATCTGCAAAAATGTCAACAATTCTGTGTTTTTCTGTCAATATGGGGTGCTGTGTGTACAATAATGAGGAAA